ATAAATAAATAAAAAAAAAAAATAAAAAAAATACACCATAGCAGCCGCTCATTGCTGCTGCTCGCTCACATGTACACGCTCGCTGGCTGACGCGCTAATATCGATCGTGCGAACACACAAACACACTAACACACAAGAGCAATCACATAACCTCCTCCAACTCCGTTGGGCGGAGGTAATTACAGACAGTGCGTAGGCTAGTCATTGAGCGTAAACACATACTATAGCATAGGCTATAGCCCAGCAGTAAAAAGTGGCAACACTTAGGGCACAGACGCTTAGTAGTTTTTTTAAATATAAAATTTTTCATTACTATTTTTAATTTAGAATTTATATTGACTTGATCTTTCAGCACTACCAGGTGCTCAACCTTTTAGGCAAAGGAGGATTCGCATGTGTCTACAAAGCAAGATGTCTCAACACTGGACAACTCGTAGCAATCAAGATGGTAAGATAATCTGCTACCATGACTAAAAATTTGGCTTAAATTCAGAAATCCTTTAAACTAAATTCAAGCTGAGTATGAATTTATGCTTATTGGAAAGCACACGTGTGTAATAATTTAGTCAATGTGAGATATTACATTATTATGCATAATTATTGTGTGGGTAATATAGCTTATTTACTTAAATAGATAGACAAGAAGCTTATGCAAGCTTCGGGAATGGTTACACGTGTACGGAAAGAAGTCGAGATACATTCCCGGCTCAAGCATCCTTCAATACTTGAGGTAAAATTAACACGGCATAATTATTTAATCTTCTTCAGTCTTGTATAATTATTTGTAGCAGTAGTGGTAGTAATTGCATACTGGTAGGAGCAGTAGTGATGTAGTGTTACTGGTATCATGGGATCTTTGTGATGCTCATGTAAGTAACAATAATGTAATAAGGAAATGGCTAACAGTAAATCATTATTACTAGATTAATTTGTCAGTGGTACTATGGCACATGCCATAGGAAAAATGGTGTGACCCCTAGTTTTTTCCAACACTTGATGAAATAATTCTCACCATATCCATCTAGTTGTTTACGTACTTTGAGGACAACAACTATGTCTACCTGGTGATTGAGATGTGCCATAATGGAGAGTTACATAGATACCTGAAAAGCAACTGCAGGGTGCTCTCTGAGGATGAAGGTAAAACTGGATCTATCCTGTATAGCAACTCTCTCTCCTTGTCTATGTGTTTCTTTGGGACCAAAAATAATTAATGTTTTCCCTGTTCTTCATTATCCTGTCAAGCAATATCTTACAAGTGAAGGATACAATGCGGTATTTCGTAATACATTACTCCACGATATATATATATATTTACTTTATCACGTGTCATGATAGTGATGGAACTTCTGACATAATTGTTTCCAGTGTTGCCTTTCCTTACGTGAGCTAACTAACTATGGTAACTGATGCCAACTTTGTTGCATTGCAGCGCGGCACTGTGTTCGTCAGGTCGTGCAGGGAATGTTCTATCTACACTCACATGGCATCGTGCATCGTGACCTCACGCTCGCAAACCTGCTGCTCACCCGTGACATGAACGTTGTACGTAATCCATTACATGAATGTTGTCGATGTTGTTAATAAATGCCACTTGTTAGAATGCGTGGCCAATATGTCTGCTAATCCATGGTAATGCATATGTACGTCATGTTTGTTTATGAATTTAATCGCAGGTATTTGGTTTTTATAGTAGTAACAGGAAGTGCAAAACCCATTAGAGTATAATGTCCATCCATTACGTTGTCTCGCTCTTGTTTGTAGAGAGGTATTAGCTCAGGGTGACTACCACTGCGGTGATTTCGAGACATTCTCCTCTCGTGATAACTTGCCTGAATGTAACTGTTGAGCGTCGTGTGTCGATGTTGTTGCCTAATTGTGTGGTTTCATACTGTGAGCAGAAAATCGCCGATTTCGGACTAGCGACGCAGCTGAGTGTCCCCGACGAGAAGCACTTCACCATGTGCGGCACGCCAAACTACATCTCACCGTAAGTGCTGTACGTGGAAGTTCCGTATGCGCTGTACACAAAGCCAAGCATTAATCTATGATGCGTTGCAAAGCATAGATTCAAAGTAGTAAGGACTGTCCCCAGGGAGATAGCTAGCAGAGGCGCGCACGGTTGTAATGTGGTGTTGATTGCTCTGTGCAGGGAGATAGCTAGTAGAGGCGCGCACGGTTGTAATGTGGTGTTGATTGCTCTGTGCAGGGAGATAGCGAGCAGAGGCGCGCACAGTCGTAATGTGGTGTTGATTGCTCTGTGCAGGGAGATAGCTAGCAGAGGCGCGCATGGCTTGGAGGCGGACGTGTGGAGCCTGGGATGCATGCTCTACACCATGCTGGTCGGCAAACCTCCATTCGACACGGACGGAGTGAGAACGACGCTGAATCGTGTTGTCGTGGGCAACTACGAGCTTCCAACATCTCTCTCGTCGCAGGCGAAGAATCTCATACAGGCGCTGCTGCGTAAAAACCCAAAGGAGCGGCTTAAGCTGACAGGTAAGGCATCCTACAGAGTTTCTGCCATATACGCTCGAGTAGAAACTGTCAGTGCTGGCTCAGTATTGCGGAAGTCTGCGTAGTTAATATTTTAAGGCATTGTACAGAAATAGCGATGGAGCAGGAGAATGATTCAGGGATCACCGATAATTCTCGTGGGCAGCAATTGAAACGACTGCTTTTAGTTTTTTGCCCTAATCTTTACCGTTCATCAATAAATATAGAGATTCGGTACACACTATGTGTACGTAGATAACAGAAATATATTGTAGTATTTCGTCGCTATTAATCCTGAGGACAACTATATCGTCGATAATCTCCTGTTTGCATTACAGCCATTGTGGACCATCCATTCATGAAGATGCATGGGATGGAAGAGAATAGTAGAGGCCGGGTATTTATGATTGTATTCTCTGTAAAACATCCACTGATCGACTATTCTGACCAACCGTGATCTTAGCTTTAATAATAATAAATGTAAAACTATAGTTTTTGCTTGGCAGTACATATGTAGCCTTGCCAAATCTGTATCATTCTGATGAGTATATAAATAGCATGCCACAGAGTAATGCTACTGATAAAATTTAAAAATTAACATGGCTTCAACGTTACTATTTTCAGAGGGCAGTAGAACATTCCATCGACAGCGGACAGGGAACGATGTCAACCACTACGACACATACATCAAGTTCTCGCTCACGCCCTCTAGCGGTACATCCGCCATCTAACCTACCGACCTTGACCTCATATTCAGATGAGCCACAGTCTACTCACAGCCATAGGTTCGTTTATCAAGCCTTATTATCGAGCGTTATCTACAGTAATACTGCAGGCACGTTGTCAGTGTGTTATTCTGTGCAGCCCCACGAATTAAGCTCCCTAACTCCATCATTATCCTCACCACCAGAGGGTGTGAGTGTACACTTTATATTAAACGAACTTTCAGATCACATGATAGGTGGAGTTCTCACGAGCGATTGAGAGGGCACAGCGAGGATAAAACCTGCAGACAACCACTGGCACAGGTCAACAATCGAGGGTCAACGTCCGGTTCAGCATATAGTAGACATCCACCTTCACCACCTGTCAGGTTGAAATCAAGGTAGGAATTAAAATAAATTCTATATAAAAGGTTTCTTGAGAAATGGTTAAAGAATGGAAATATATGCATTTAAATTTAGCTAGTGTTAATGAATTTTGTGTTGCTAGCAGTAGCATGACTTGCTTCTATTCCTTTCTTATTCTTCATGGATTCCATTCTATTTCTTACACACAGCAGCTTGTATTATAGCCTGCTTATAAGGTAAATTCCCCTTTATAGTTATACTTATAGTTACACGTATACATATATTATATGTATAATATAATTATGATTACTTATTATATACTATATGTGTACTTATACTTGTAGTATATTATTATATTACAGCAACAAGGAAAATCGTGCTCCCTCCAGCAGTGAAGCATTTCGCTCTCCCCTCATGTCTGTTGAGGACATCCTAAAGAAGATCAACACGTCCCTGTCATCTGCCAGCCTCGACAATCGCTCCACACACTCGAAGCACCGGCTCGTCGCCGACGACGACAAGGGAGGCTCCATCTACAGGCCGCGTTGCAACGGTGACGCAGATCCCCACCGGTCCCGATGTGCCGTCGACGCGTCGTCTCACAGTCGCCATGACGATCACATGAGTGAGATGAAGCAGGCCGGTGATTACAGTGATGGTAGACAGGTGCACGCGACGACACGGCAGTGGGAGACAAATTCCCGGGACGGCCGGCAGGCGACTGGTAACAACACCCAACGTGCGCCCTCCTCCTCTGATAAGCACTCAGCGGAAAGCGGGGATCCATGGACGAAGAACCGGGAGACGTGTGCCCAGGAGGAGTCCAGGAGTCGATCCCTGCTCCGGGACACTTCCAATCGCGATCACGCCAGCGGCGGTCAATTGTCTCGAGACGTAGGTGGCGCCGCGTTTGGTGGCAGGAGGCGGGAGGTGTCCCGGGAAGGCATGCTAGCCGTCAGCACTCAGGATCCTCTCCCGTCCTCGTGCGACGCTGCGACTGACCGGATTCTTCCCCCGACGAGGACGGGATCACCCGCCGATGTTTCTGCCAGATGCGCCGTCAGAGACGAGCCACCAGGGGGCGGCGGCGACGTGGGTCTGAAAGGCATGACGTCACCGCTGAATGCGCGGCGCCTGCGGCCGACTCGCCAGCGCACGAAGAACGCCATGGTAGGCATCAATGCTGCTGCAGACACAATCGCAGATACAATTACCCACAGAATGCCAAATTACTGGAGTCGGTGTGACGTTGCCACGTTTATTTTTGTGACTCTTGTTGAATTCTTGTTACTGATTCCACTGTTCTTCCCAGATCATGTTGACGGTTGTAGTGGGTCTTCAAAGTTTATAGGTACTTATTTTGCCAAAAAAAATAAGGGCCCTTATTAGTCTCATTTTTGTTGAAATATTGGAGAGAAAAGTATTAGTCCTTTTTTTTCGGACTTACTGTCTCGATCTGGTAAGTAATTGTTGTATATATATATGAATATTGAATATCTTGCTGCATGCAAATTGTGTATATATGATTATTAGTGTCGGTGATCTATGCCAGATATCGCGTAAAAGTTTATTTTGGCCTCGAAAGGTCTTATAGGTCCTTTTTCACGATGTTTGTTTTTTTCTTGACTCCTATGAACCCTGGTTAAACGATAGTAACTAGCTTGGGATAGCAGCGGCGTTGCACTAGTTGTTACTGCTTCCAGTCGCCCGCAAAGAAACGCAGTTTTGGGTTTGATTTCGCTTGATCTGTTGATTGTCGTCATTGTCTGTTTTTTCTCGTTTCGGTGTTCGTTGCCGCTTCTTCAAATGTGATCAATTTATCTACTATGTGCCCTCTACGTGATTCGTTTCATGTTCTCTTCTTCTCTTCTTGTTACGTTCTGTGTAGTGAGTTGTTTGTGCTCTGCTCTGTGTGTATGAGGCCTACTACAGTGAGTTGTTTGTTCTCTGCTCTGTGTGTATGCGGCCTACTACAGTGAGTTGTTTGTGCTCTGCTCTGTGTGTATGCGGCCTACTACAGTGAGTTGGTGATGGTTTGCTGTGCAGCGTGGAGGCATCAGCGGAGACGGTCGGATGGGTGTGTGTGGTAGTTCCTGCGTGCCGGGCAGGCGCAAGGACCGTTTCGAGGTCTGAGGAATTTTATTCCGAGGATCTGAGCGTGAGCGGCTGTATGGCCGTGATACGGGTCATGGCCGACATGATGCAGCTGTATGGGTAGCATCATAGGTGTTGTGGTTGCTAAAGCCAGCTGTCATGGTAGCCAATCATAGGTGTTGTGGTTGCTAAAGCCAGCTGTCATGGTAGCCAATCATAGGTGTTGTGGTTGCTAAAGCCAGCTGTCATGGTAGCCAATCATATGTGTCGTGGTTGCTATTGCTAAAGCCAGCTGCCATGGTAACCAATTGCAGGTGTCATGGCTGCTGATGCCATCCGACTTGAATACTTGTCTTTCACAGTAATGTCATTATTTTTACTGCTACTGTTCTAAAAATGATAGCAGGATTCAAGCTATCAGTAAGGTAACAAGACTGTTCTGTTATTATATTTAATGCAAGTTTATGTGTGACTGCTTAGTCTTATTTACTGGAGACAGATGTTGTGAGCTGTACATGTAAGCATTCAAGAGTGTCTGAGTTTTGTTTGACATGTACTTATCACGCAGTCTTCTCATTGTTTTAGATCACCATTAATCATCCCAACAAAGGCAAGGGGGTGTTACTGGCAGATAAGCCACCTAGTCCACCTCCCAGCTCCCCGACCAGCAAATTTCAGTATGCAAGTCTGCCCAGTAAACTATGGAAGAAGTATATCTACGCAGCCAGGTTAGTTGCTCTGCTTAATCTCACATATAAATGGGTGGTCATAGCACTTTCAGATTAGCTTTCTTTGACATAATACATGTAGTTTCATCGTCGTATCTGCTTTCTTATAGTTGCTGTTAAGGTATGAGCTGTTTAAAATGTTGTGTAGATTTGTGAAACTTGTACGAGCGAAGACACCCAAGGTGACCTTCTACAGCAGCGCAACCAAGTGCATGCTCATGGAGAACTCCCCTGATGCAGATTTCGAGGCTTGCTTCTATAATGGTTCGTGATTCCTTGAGAAGGATGACATGTGCACACAAGCTGCGCCCCATTCTTTGATAGTCGCTGTGTTTTCTTGTGTTCTCGTGGCAATTTAACGCCCTACACGTTTTGATCAGATTCAGGTAATCAACCTAGCCTTCTGAGATAATCTAATCACATTCCCTTGGAAGCTGTTACTAGGGCTGAAGGTAGTGCTTTAGTTACAATTCGCTGTGCGCGTGTAAAAAACATATATAAACTGGTCTGGCTTGACCTATCTAGTAACGCTGAAAGGGTCGTTGTCATATCAGGTACTACATATATGTACCCGAAATACATATATGTATACACAAAGTATACCAGACTTGTACTACAGAAGTGTACCCTAACCCTAACCCTAACCCTAACCCTAACCCTAACCCTAAACACAGGGTACATATATGCTGAGAAGATACAGGTCTGGTATACATATATGTACCTCGGGTACATATATGTAGTACCTGATACGACAACGACCCTTTCAGCGTTACTAGGTAGGTCAAGCTAGACCAGTTTATATATGTTTTTTACACGCGCACAGCGAATTGCCGAATTAGCCACACATTCTTGCCAAGCATTGTGTTTAGTTTTAGAATGCCCTCGGCCCCTCACAACAATAAGAAACATGTTCAAGAATACACAACATATCCAACGGATGGATCACTTACGTGCAGTTTTATTCTGTAGGTGCAAAGGTGACACAGACTGGGACGAAGACCAAGATAATAGAAGTGGATGGGCAGCTGGTGACAGTGGAGTTAGATGTTCACTCGTTGTCATCGCACACCAGGGGGCTCTACGATCACACAGTTGAGGTGCATGAACAACCTTTATAAGTGATATATTATACGAGCATTATGCAGTTTTGAGCAACATAACACACGTGTTAGCTCTGTCAGCACTGTTAGGACAGCTGAGTCTGCGGAGGAATGTTATGATGTTTATTTATTCGTTGCCATGGTTTCAGTGTCGGCAGCACTGTATGGATGTGGAGTCGGCACTCGAACACATCCAGCTGAGGACCGGCCAGGACTGCTTTCCCGTCATCGTCGGGCGTCGGCCGACCCCAGTTCACCGTGGCGATGACATCAATGCGAGATGTGGCAACAACAGAACATCACTGGTGGATACACGGCGATCCAGCCGAATTCAGACCTCTCCTAGCATAGCGTTGCCCACAGTAAGTGCTGCCTCATCCCCTTACTTAGGTATTCATTAGTAAATTATATTATCAATAATAGTAATTATAATTAATAATTAATTAATAGCAATTGTTGGTAATATTAATAATACTAATAGTCTGACAGTCAGCTTGGCTTAACCCACATCGATCAGTATTCTTTCTTCAATTTTTTAAACATTTGATTTTACTTGTGTCAGCATTATTTTTCGAAATGTGATACACTGCTGTGTAGTTAGCCCGACGAGGCTGTGCGACTGATTGTCTATACTGATTGTCTACGGGTCTTCTAACCCTAGCAAGACCGTTTCTTGGAGCTACTGTGTAGTAAGTGCCAATACTTGGCAGATGAGATCATTCGAGGGCACAATTCTCAGCACAACAACGACGCAAAACAATGGAACGCCCTCGGTACCCTCGCACCTCGCCGACAAGAGAGTGCTGCCACCTGGCGATGAAAAGGGGCGCCACCAATCGCAGCACTCCGGTAGCGCGCAGCGGAGACGGTCGTTGAGCACAAGCAGAGTGGTCAGACAAGTGTTTGTGCCGGACATCGGCTGGGCCTCCCAGGTGAGTGACCTCACTGAGCCTCCATGATCGACCGTGCATCCATCCGATGGTCACTGTGCGGATCCTGGCTGCGCACCCTCCGCTGCTGAGTCTGGCAATAGTTTTCCATACAGCTATAACCAACCTGTGTTAGTGGCCACTTCAATAGAATGAACACCTGCATATAAAGGACACACCCTCCATCGTTTCCGTTGAGCGTAACTCGTACAGTAAATTCACCTTTATAGAATGGTCGTCTGTCTATAAAAGACACTTTTTGACATTTCCTTTAGGTGGCTTTTGTATGCAGGTTTGGTTGTATGACCAACTGTTTGATTACCATAAATTGTCAGTCACACACGCGTCGCCGTGGTATTTCGGTTCAGTAGTCGTCGTCGTACTTGCTCAAGCTCTCTGCTCGGACACTGAGCAGTGAGCTTGCTTTATTCCCTCGTCCTCATACACACTTGGTTTCTCTGCACAGACATCTAGCGGTGAGGTGAAGGTACTGTTTAATGGAGGAACGCAGCTGAGTGTGGAGGCATCCAGTGCCATGGTTACGTACACCGACTCGTCTGCCATCACGACCAGGTGAGTGTACGTCGCTAGCAACAACAGGGTGTTAGCCAGGAACAAAAATCAGGGAGTCTCACCATCTGAGCGAAGTGAGGATGCTGCGGGCACGAAGCACCCTTGGGGGAAAAACCGACGATTTTATTTTAATGGTGTAAAATTGGGCCACCCTCATGCCCTCTATCAAATTCCATCCGTCTCATCCAAGAATAGGCCGTCCAAAAGACGGGTAGACGAGTCTCTGGCTAACACACCGAGTGCCAACCATGCAGAATTAGCCCCTAACTAAGCATAGCCAGCCCCCAACCACACACACAGCTACCGTACGACAGTTACTTATCTCTGTTAGATGTAAGATTCACTAGACTTTGAGCTACTGTTGGAAGTCGTGACATTAAGTTGGTTGCATATTGATTTCGAATTATAGAGAATAGATGTTACGGTAGATTAGTAGAGGTTATGTCTATCAGCCTGTGCTACTGTAAGCGTTTGTTAAGGTTATAGCAGAGGTTGTGTAGAGTGCACCGTGTTGTGTTATGTGTTCGTTTAGGTACGCGCAGGGAGACAAGCTGCCGGAGCATGTTCGTGTGAAGCTGGCCCAGATGCCCAGCGTCGTTGACCTCCTTGTTAATTCTCCTGCGTGATCGATCACATGACTTCGCATTTATCAAACCATCGCAGCATCCATGTTAGGAGTTACCCACGGTAGTTAACGTACGTGCCAGGAGTTATCACGAGGGTTAATGTACATCAGGCACGGTAGTTATTATAATGCTAGCAGTTAACACAATGCCAGGAGTTAGTACTAGTATCTAAATAGTGTGTAATTAACTAGAATTATTGTATGTATCATATATTTTAATGAATGTCATGTCTTATTATTGTTGAATGCACAATTTTTTTAGAGTAATACGTGTTAGCTAGTGTGGGTACAATGATTGCCAGCGTAAAACATTGCATTTATATAGATTTGACAAACTGTTTGCGCTATGAATTTTTGTTACATTAAAAATGTATAGCATTTTTGACACAAAAGGCATTTTTAAATTATTTGCAATTAAATGTCTATTATAAAACCATCCCACTCTTAATGATCATGGATTTTCCACTTCTTTTAAAATAAAAACCTAATAACGAAGACGGTTTTTTTTAATAGCTGTTAGTGGAAAACCATTAACAGATGATATATTTCACTATAAAAGTACAACAAATTTATACATACAATGGTGTAATTGTAATTTCAGCACTCAAACGGCCGAAATACACAGAAATATGATTGGGCTATAGTGCGCAAAACAAGTACTCTTAAGATTGATATTATATTGCATAACATTTCATAATACAAGTGATTATGTGACACGAGACAAGGTGTGGACGGAATTCTATATAAACCAGGGACAAATAGAGTATCCTTCTGTCCAGAAAAATGACAACAGTGAACCCACTTGACATCTATATTTAAATGAGCTGTGGTTTTTGCTTATAACACTATCTTTAATATAAACGAAGACAAAGATCCTTACTTTCTTAAGAATTCCCATGATTTACGGATGTTTCTGTGACCGTACCAAATAATTTTAAAAATTAGTATATAAACAGAAGCCTACACATACGTATATCGTAAAGCCATACATGGTTTGTATAGTGCAATTTGACAGCAGGGTATAAAATCATTTACTAGCTTGGACTTGATCCACTATCATTACTTCAATTATGTCGACGTGGGTATATATAGGTGAGCATTATTTCCAACGTCCACACACACTGCTTTACTGATATAAATTATTTTTTGATAGATACAATGATAAAAGTGTATAATGTAAAGAATTCCTGCAATTAACACACATACATCTAGGTTCATTATGATTGGCTGCAGTAATCACGTGGTTGCTCCTAAAGTCAGCCTAATATAACCACATTCCAAGGAGTAGGGAAACCGACGATGAATAATGCGAAACTCGGTACACAACAGACACAGAAAACAACGTCAAAGTAACAACACGATACCATCATGATGGCTTATAGCTTGCTTCATCACCATGATAAATGTTACAATAAAGCTTATTTGTAAAACTATTGGAATGGTAAAGCGGTGGCTGGGCCTCAAAAACACGAGGAATGTCACAATAAAACTCATTTATAAAACTTGGGACGGTAAAATGATGGACTGGCCTTAAAAACACGATGAATGTCACAATAAAACTTGGGACGGCAAAATGCTGGACTGGCCTTAAAAACACGATGAATGTTTCAATGATAGCTGCCCACGGAGACGTGTGGAATGTTACAAGAAATACTGGTCACACAGAGATGTGAAATAGATTCAGGGAGCTGCCTTTGTAGACAAATGCAATTTTATATGGATAGCTGCACTTACAGACATGCTAGGACCCTTAGATAGACTGACAACTGTGTAGGGAGATATATATATATAGTATAGCTGTGTCAATCCTGGGTCCCTACACTCCAAACTACTGCATATAGTAACATTATCTGTAGAGAGAACATAGATGTTACCTGCCATTTTGACACTAGCTGGCACACCTAAGCAAATATCATGAGATGCCGCATTGTTCATCTTACAGAGGCTTGTATACAATGCAGTGAACTATTAATGGAGCTATTTGGCATCAATTAGGGGCCTAGTCAGCCGCCATCTAAGCTACTTTCACTTATAACTATAATCTCTATGTTCACTCGTATCGTTTGTGGCACTTCCAGCTTGTTCCCTGCACGTCTAATATCGATCCGTAGACATAGTTCCCAGCTCTTGCTCTTCCAGATAGCGTGCTTCTTCCCACTCCTGTAACTTTTCGCTGTCCTTGACATGGGCATAGTTCGCTGCCAAGCAGATCATATAATGAATCTGAAATCAGAAGTGACAAAATTGTGAAAGAATATGAATATTATTATCTTCAGTTTTGAACTGAGCACAAATTTGAATATTTTTCTCCCAGACAGAGAATTTATATATAATGTAGAGTAAGACAAGCACGCTTGAAAATATAATAAAAATTTCAATATGAACAAATTCATTATGATCTAAACACAAAGCTTTCTGAATACTCACTCATTACCTCATCGTAACAGGAGATGTCACAACTGTGAACAAGTCATTAGGTAGAGATTTGACATACATGCTCGTGCGTGCACGTTAATATCACACCACGACACAGTATGTCATGAAATCAGAGCTTTGCATCCATGCACGTGATAAACAAAATATACAAACACATGCCTGTACTGAATGCTAATTGTTACAGAAACGTCGAAACAGAAGAGTTGTTTAAGAAGAAGCATTCTTAAATACATGCAGTGAAAAAGATATTGTGGCTGTAGTCTTGTTAATGTATTACGTCATTGGTGCTACCTGATATCCTGTGATCTAATAAAAAAGTAGTGTTATAACAACCATTTATGATAATTAGTGATGTAGCCTGGCTTCTTCACGGTATCTCGCGGTGGGAAACTATGAGAGTGAATGGGATATGCCGGATAATTTAAATTAGCGTTTCGTCATAATCACACATACAGGCAATTTTGTCATTGATTACCTTTTATTAACAGTGATTAAAATTACTGCCGATATAAAAATAATTAAACATTAAATAATCGTCACAAATTTTTGCATGTACTATACACAGATTATATATAATTAGCAGCCTATATTCGGTACTGCAATGACGTAAAACGGAGACAACAAAGGGTCACCTAAAAGTCATTTGGCTACAAGCTATGACAAAATAAAAGCATATTCACATTGCTAAAATTGAGTAATCAAACAGTGACTGCATATATCTACAGAGACCCTGTTATTGTTAATCAGATACCATGTCGCAAAACAATGACCAATAGCTGACACTGTTCTACTTTCGATTTCGATTACAAGGCTACACTTACAAGAACGATTGCTAAAAGTGTCCGCAGCATTATCTGTTTCACATGTTACCTACAACAGTGCCGAGAAATGGCACGAGTAACAAGTAATCATTTTAATAATCACTGTGTTATACACTGGGTGAGCTTGATTCCTACTCATGAAATGCACCTCTGAATTTTGTTATTGGTTGCACATACAATTTGCATGCATTAAATCAATCAATGCAACACTTAATAAAACGATTTAGCATGCTTCAATCTTCTGAAATGGTATTTGAAACAATTAGAAATTGTGGCCTTTCGCACTCAATGTTATCACGGGGTTTAAAATAGAAAAAGCAATAGGCCATAGCTGAAAAAAAAGCTGTCAGACCTTATCATAAAAAGTGACATCTACCATTTGACCCACACACCATTTACTCTTGACTTCTACATTCATACTTATCCCATATCTTCTCAACACATGTCCCGAGTGGGGAAAATAGAAGCCCATTCCCTTCTTGAGATATCGTGGACGATGGATGCCATGCCAGCACCCCCCAGTGGCCTAACTGATCGTCTCCATCGAGTGTTCGTCAATGTACTTGAGGTCGTCCAGCTCTTGCATCTTCTGCACAGTCTTGATGCGCGTCATGTTCGCCGTGATGCATATTACGAAGGTGACCTACAACGAGAAACGTCACGCTTGTGCAGCGTCTCACTAACCTATGCATGCATGCTGTTAGTGCAGGGCAGGAAAGAAGGCATGGCCGTGCGTGCCACAAGTGGTGGTGCCACAGAGGCAGAATAGTAACATTGGTGCTGCATAGAGGTGCAATAGAAATGGAGGCAACATATAAAAGAGAGTAAAGTGATCATAATGAATCTATCTATAATTCTACACTCATGCATCACGCGATTATCTCAACCATGCATCTAACCGGGATGCTTCGTGCGCTCGTGTCTACGATCAGAAATGCAGAAGAAGTAAAAACTGAAGCCTATCCGAAGAAAGCTTGACGTAAGATGCGAGGCGGCGACTTACGAGGCTGAGCAGCACAACCAGGGACGAGACGTATGCAACAATGTAGAGACCATAGAGCTCATCCGACTGTCAACACAAGACAAACGCATTAATCGCGCAAACGTAAATATACCTTCTCCTAGCACAGAAATCACCTGTGTCGCTTATCGTCACTATAACACCTGAACTGAATGTGAATAAGATCAACCGATGCAGCACAAATTATCGCTCAGCTCAAAAGTGTGCTATTGTTAACTTAAGTTCTATTTGTAAAGAGTGCAAAACAATGGCACTCAAGAAGGAATAGGTAGTCTTTGATACCTGTCTAATATTCCCTTTAACGAAGCTTAATTATTAATAATTAATTGCAAGTTAGATTACCAATACCTTCTCGCAGAAGTTCTGTAGATTTTGATCGCACACGTTCATTCTACCCTTAGTAAACATTCGGAACATGTAATCTGTGAATACCAAATGTATCACTGTTTATAAATACATTACACTCATACAATGTTACAAAAAAGTATGCATAACATAAACACTGCCTGATAAATTACATGTAGTACCTGTAGTATGTTGTTATCTATCGCAGTTAGTATTTGGCCTATCTCTCATTTACTATTCTGCATGACATCAAATAGAAATAAATTTTTGACCATTACTCACGGAACTGCGTTAGGTCGAGGCATCCGGGTCTGACTTCTGGATCTTGTTTGCAGAAGCCCCAGAAGATGAGGAATAGGGACATGTTCAGACACATCCATGACGTGATCATCAGCCAGCAAATAGTCATAATGTACGAGACGACCATGAACTAAATAAAGAGAGACGATTGCAAGTTTGAGACTTAAACATACGTTATTATTCCTGTGACATTTGCAAGGACACAGCACAGTAACTTCACACTTACAAAGCTGAGGCAGCAGCGGCCCCCAGTGCGTGATTTGGAACCTTTGTAGACAGCATCTCTAGTCGAGCCGGTTGCAAGAAATCCAAGCAGCAGCAGCACGAACCCCATGAGACCCATCCCGCAACCAATTGCAAGCATGACAAACTTCAGCACATCGACCCTATACAGAAGTAAGAGTAGAGGGAAACATCAGTGGCAACATCATGTGTCAAGTTAGGCAAGCAACAGAAAAGATGTTATGATAAGTAGATAAATAAATAAATAGATATATACATATATATATATATATATATATATATATATATATATATATAAATAAATAAATAGATATATACATATATATAATATATATATATTAATCAGAAATCTTCCCTGTCAGAGAACAAAAGCAACCCACCACGACACTCTACTGCCAAATTGCTGATATGCAAGGCCCATTGTCCCATCGACAGCTGCATACATTGTTCCCAGGAAGACAGCAACTCCAATGATACACATGATGGTTGCTATGAGCGACGCAAACGGAGTCCGCGTGATGCAAGATTCAGCTAAAAAAGGTAAATATTTATGCGTTCAGATTCAGTAATGTGATAAAGCTAAAGCTTTAGTAAGGTGTGCAGTTGAAGTAGATACAATAATGTAACCCAACACAAGAGTACTCGCTGCTTTTGTGTTTGCTTACATTATCTGATTGTATCTAAGCAAGACCACTGGCAGCAGGATTAGGTATATCCCCAACACACTCACGTTACAGCACACACATATACATATAACAACATGGTATCTAACTGGCTGCCAATCTTTGCACAACTCCCCATTTTTAATCAGCTACAACTCCGGTGTTACTGCAGCTGACGCCACTTTCCAACTATCATTGGAATTGCGGAAGAGTGTTTAACAAAAACTATACCAGCGATTTTTTTAAAATTGGCCCACGAAAATGTACTCAAATCACAGAAATTCCTCAAATCTCCGTAACAATAAACTTTCTGCAACCAATTAGTGCAGCCGCCAGCGGTTGCTCGTGCCTGTCTCTGCACTTGTATTAACATTTGAGGAATTTCTGATTTAAGTGCATTTTGGCAGGCTGATTGTCAAAAGTAGCTAATGTAACTTAGTCTTCCATGATTCAAACGACAGTTGGAAAGTGGTGTCACATGCAGGAACACCGAGGTGTAGATGATTGGAAATGGTGAGTTGGACAAAGCTCGGCAGTGAGTTAGATGCCATGTCGCTATATATATATATATATATATATATAAGTGCGTGTGCTGTAGCCTGGGGGGGCAGACAGGTGGAGTGAGCAGAACAGGTAACAAGTGCCGCAGAGCGACAGCGCTCAACTGACGTGTACTGAAGCCGGGTATTCTTCTGATAAACTCACTGGCAACCTTATCAAGTGCACCCTCCCGCCACCGCGTTGATAGGCTTTGCTATACCGGTAGTACAGTAATAAAGATATAGCTGTGTAAATTTAATGACTTCGCTATATTAACGTTATCATGAATATGCGTCGAGCGCGAGCGTAGTGGTGGTGGTGGGAGAAGGGCGGGTGGAGGGGAGGGGGAGGGGGGAAGGGGCTCTAATAGAAGAAGCAGTTCAGTCCTTTGTTAACAGTCAACAAATCCATGTTTAACCCTCCTCTTGATGGTCAAAAGGTTATCAGACACTTACTCTTCGCACGTCAGCAGAAAGTAGATTTCATGGTCCTTTCAATAAAGTGATAAAAACGGTAGGTCAGCGCTGAAACAAAAAAGTTTTGCACTTGGTCCGTTAGACCATGTCCTCAGAAAATGTCTGATATCTGACCTTTCCCCCACTGCCCTTTGACCTGTGACGTCCAATTTCGCACTGGTGATGGGTTTCCTCCCCATCACACTATACATCGAATATTAAGAGCGTAGGTCGAGCCGTTAATATTTGTGTTGCAATTCCGTATTTCCTCCTATACCTTAAGTTAAGGGGGAAACATTCCCCCTCCATTGACACATCTCGACCTTTGACCCTTCACACCCAAATTCGACATCCTGAGTCCTTTTCGCGATCCCCCCCGACGTCCCAAATATCAAGACCGTACGTCGAGCGGTTAAGATTTGTGCCCAACTGTTGACGGACGAACGCACGCACGCACGCACGGACAATCATGCGATTCTACAAGCTGCGTCTGACTTCGTCAGCTGAGCTAATAACAAATACAGCATTCCAATTTAAACTGTTATAACTTCTACTTCTAGGTTTAAATGCTATTTAAAATAGAAGTATTGTTTAAACTTGGAAGGTGAGCCCTGGCGTGTTGACGGTGGGATTTAGGCATGTTTATTTTTTATTCAAATATTAATGGTACTTTTACCGTGTATGTTTTAGTTTTACTTGTCACGAAGCCTGACAGTCAATCTCATCGGTGCAAATCCACTTTAGGCACCTTAGGTATCACAAAGTGATGCACAGATTTTTGTGTATCATCAACTGATGCACAGGCACTTGGAACGTCTCAATAAAAAAAATTAATGTAAATAAACACGAAATGTACCAAAGTCTTAATGTTTCTCTACTCTATTTCGCCTATAATCACCTGTAAATGCAGGTCAAATGCTCATCTGCAACACACAAGTACACCGCACGCCCGCCCTGTGCTGCGTGTACAAACAACATGAATAAGAGAGCAGGTAGGAAAGCGTGATCGCGAAATTCGCTCGATGCTTGCTTCATTTCACACGATCACAGAACGAAAACACATCCAACCAGTGAAAAAAATACACGGGGGCTCGGGGCGATTTAGCCCCCGAAATGCTAAAAAGAGCCCCGGAAATGCCAAAAAAATCCCCCGTAAATTTGCATAGAGTTCAATGCAAACCAAATTTTAGAGTGCTATTTTTATGCACGCGAGTTTGAAAAGTAGCCCCCGAAAAATAAATTATATTTTTTTCCCTGCATCCAACAGCTCCCATCTTGGTATCTATGTGAACATAAATGTTCACTTGTTCAAATTATAACTCTGGCCTTTGTTCTTACCTACTCCGCCAGAGATATCTCGTGAAATCCTGCAGGAAATGTTCTCTCCGTGAAAATGTAAAGAGGACGTATCATCGAAAATCCCTAACGGCGCTACTTTCGATCGATCACTGTAGTCGTGTGTGTGTGTGACGTCATGCCCGCGCGCATTGTGCTTGGCGGGCCTCGAAATGGAGCTCGGAGGCCGGCAGCAGCTCATCCCGGCATGCAATGCGCTCCATTACTCGCTGTATAAACAGAATCTCGTCCTCTTTACATTTTCACGGGAAAAACATTTCTGCAGGATTTCACGAGATATCTCTGGCGGGAGTAGGTAATGAACAAAGGCCAGAGTTATAATTCGAACAAGTGAACATTTATGTACACATAGATACCAAGATGGGAGCTGTTGGACGTGTTTTCGTGCTGTGATCGTGTGAAATGAAGCGAGCGTCGAGCGAATTTCGCGATCACGCTTTCCTACCTGCTCTCCTACCTTCTCTCTTATGTTGTTTGTGCACGCAGCACAGGGCCACAGGCACTTAAAGCGTTTCAATAAAATATATACGCAGGGGTCGTGTGCTGTGCACGGCGACATGTTAAAATATATAGCAGGTAAGAAAGCGTGCGCCAGAAATTCGCTCAACGGTCGCTGCATTTCACATGATTACAACCAGACGTCCCAAGTGTCCCGGTCTCACCGGGATCCTCCCGGTATGAACACCGCTTGCTCCGCGGTGCCCCGGAATGAAGTCCAGAAGCTCCCGTCGTAACATTTTCAGCGCGTATGAAAATTTACATCAGTAAATTACTAAATTTGCGCGTATGTTGTTGATGTACTTTGAATTCAAAGCAAACTATAAAGGCCACAAATGTCAAGCATTAATGCGATGCAATGTGTAATATACTCGTGTATAAGGCAAAAACAAAATATAGGTGTGGTTACCGTTTCCCGACTGACCCTATTTATTCGCCAGCGACCCTAAACATTTTTATGTCAACTTTCTTTAAAAGTAAAAAAAAATACTCTCAAAAAGGGGCTCTAATAGCAAAAGCAGTTCACTCCTTTGTTAACAGTCAACAAATCCATGTTTAAACCCTCCTCTTGAGGGTCAAAAAGGTTATCAGACACTTACTCTTCGCACGTCAGTGGAAAGCACATTTCATGGTCCTTTCAATAAAGCCATAAAAATGGTAGGTCACGCTGAAAACAAAAAAGTTTTTCAATCGCTCGGTCACACCATGTCCTCAGAAAATGTCTAAAATCTGCCCTGTGCCCCATTGACCTTTGACCTGTGACCTCCAATTTCGGCACAGTGATGGCTTTTCCTACCATGATGCTATACACCGACTATCACGAGCCTAGGTCGAGCCGTTTAGATTTGTGTCCGCAATTCTGATTTCCTCCCTATACCTTAAGTTAAGGAGGGAATGTTCCCCTTCTTTTACACCTCTGACCTTTGACCTTTGACCCCCAGCTTCGACATCCCAACTCGTTTTCGGATTACCCCCCCACGTCCCGAATATCGTGACCGTACGTCGAGCCGTTTAGATTTGTGCCCAACTGTTGACGGACGCACGGACGGACGGACGAACGCTCGAACGGACGGACGGACGCTCGGACGGACGATCATGCGATTCTACAAGCTGCATCTGACTATGTCAGATGAGCTAAAAATAGTGGTGTGTCGCTACAAATACATATCGCAGCCCGCCATAACTTTTTTCCTGTTTTTGCGCACTGCGAAAAAACGGCGATGGACCATTATCACAAGTGCTCCCTTTCTTGGATTGCTGGCTCCCTTTCTTGGATTTTCTCAACTTGGGACCTCTGTTACAACACAAATACTCAACATTCTAACTCCATCTTTGCTGCTAATTGAAGAACAGTGTTCACTTGTTGTAGAAATATTATGTCTTTTATTTTAAATAAACGTGCATTTTTAAACGTGCACATTTAAATAAAAGTGCATTCTTAAATATATTGGCCCAAGGATAGAGAACATGGGTCCCAATAAAACCAATGTGCCTAACCCTAATCCTAACCCTAACCATAACCTATTAGTATTATATTGATATAATATTATATTTATATTGATGTAAATGACATTGGTTTTATTGGGAACCATGTTCTCTATCCTTGAACCAATATATTTTATTGAAACGCTTCAAGTGGCAGTCAAGTGCCTGTGCACAGGGCGGGCGTGCGGTGTACTTGTGTGTTGCATATGAGCATTTGACTGGCATTTGCAGGTGAAATAGAGCTAGAGAAACATTAAGACTTTGGTACATTTCGTGTTTATTTACCATTAATTTTTTTTATTGATACGTTCCAAGTGCCTGTGGCTGTGAACTGATGCACAGACTTTCTGTATATCAAGGAATGATGCAAAAACCCTAACCCTAACTAAGTTAATTTGCCTACCCTAACACACTTCGTGATACCTAACTCAGTAAACACTAACTGCCTAAAGGTGCCTAAAGACGTGGATTTGCGCCGTTTACTTACCCATTATGCACAATATATATTACGTCTTCCTCTGATAAAATAATGCTTTAAATAAGCTTGATAATTCTGGCTGATTCTCTCAGAAGTGCAACTAAAATTTCACACCTGTTTGAAAACAAACAAAAGCAAAAAGGTGAGACGTTAACTTCCGTTGTAGCTATGCGTCACGATTAAAGCATAAAGCTTATTATGTTTACGTCTGCATTTATTAGAGTAAAATGATAGTATCCACTGATGAAACTTAATTTTTTGGTATTAATATTTTCTTGTGTCATTCTTGAGCATTTTCCAGTGGCATTTTCTCCTTTTTTCTGCCAGGTAAGTTTCCGGTTTACTGTTTTCGGTTTTTAGAGATTAGACTGGTACTCGCTCCCACCTCTCGGCTTAGTTACTCGATGGGGGTTACCATCGAGTAATTAAGGTGGGAGCGAGTACCAGTCTATATCAGAGATGTACCGGAAACCGGTCCTCCTAAAGACCAGGATGTCTCGAAATGACTCATCGAATATATAATATATTATATATATATATATATATCAGGGGTTAATAATGACAAAAGAGTTTGACACGTATTCGGGTACTGATCTCCCTACATTTTGTCGTACGAGTTCGATGTGAATAAAAATAAAAATGTATACAAACATGAGCTTCTTTTCTTCACCGGTCCGGTCCGGGGCGGGAAGCGGGAGGGGAAGGAGCGGGAGTAGCAAAGATCATATACAATAAGATGGACAGCCGCTATGCTTGCCATACAGTTTTCGATGTCCACGCGCGACACCAGCGCCGACCAACGGCGAGTTTAGGGTTCGCAGCTTACCAGCTGACTGCTAACAACAGTAAGAATATATGCAGACGACACTCGAAAGTGGCTCGAGTAAAAAAACAAACATGAATTTATTATAAATCGATGTTCAATTACATTTTTATCTCATAAGCTCATGCTATAGGTACTTGCACGAAATCTGACATACAGTGTTAACTTTACGCGTACTAGAACGAGGGAATAAATACATTTTAAGCAGGGTAACGTTCGTGTGCGCATCAGCATAGTCGCAGCGGCAGTGTAACCGTTCATATAAACACGTCAGTGTAACGGTTCATATAAATATAATTAGCCACCCATAACCGCCGTGTAGAATATTCGTGCATGTAGAAAGTATAGTCAATATTTGTGCACCTGACTATAATGCAAGTTATATTGCAAGTACTGTAATGAAGAATGATAACAAATTGATATAGATCAGCATTACAATTCGATTATAATTAAAATGGTTTGCAATTTATATAGCGAGGGAGGAATGAGTGTTTCGTTGTGGGTGATAGAAACAAGAAAAAAACATACTGCAGCGAATTGGTCTCATCGAAGTATTATTCACATAATAATTACTATATATATGGTACTATTTTATCATATTTTAACTATAGCAATTAACCATATCTCGTAACACACGCTACAGAAATGATAACAAGGGAATCCTTGCATCCCCCCATGCACCGGACTGGCGTGTAAGGTTCAACAACAACAATTATTTTGCCATTTACACGGGTGTGAAGCCAATTTGCGGTTCTTTCTCTACTAACTGTTACAAAAACATACAATCTGTTTTCAACGGAGAAGTGATGGAGGGCGGATATTTACAAACAATGGACTTGTTATTAATTCTTGGGCTTTGCATACTTTATTTTTGATCACGCTAGTGACTTCTAATGTCTGTAATAATGAGGGATGAGAGGCTGCGCACCTTACTCATGTGCTAAAATAGTGCCTAACCTTTGCAATATTACGTCCTCTAAATCTAATTCAGTAAAGTGCAAGCCATGAACACTTCTGCTGGCTGGGAGAAAAAGTCTCCTCTCCTGCTGGTGTCCCCATAGTTCTTCTGGAACCATTAAAATATGCAGTGTATCATGCTCACTGATTTTTCGGAGCGCAAAAATGATTGCCAAATAGTTGCATACTTTCTCATGGCAATTTCCGTTCGGACCCTAACTCCACGTTGGTCGGCGCTATGTTGATCGGCGCCGTGACCCAACATTATAGGTCAGTGTCCCATCTTATTGTATATTGATCTTTGAGAGTAGGGGGGCAGGAGAGAGGGGAGGGGAGGCGGGAGAAGACAACCCCTGTACCATCCCTTCTCTACGTTCCCTTTACCTCTTCCTCCTCCCTCCCCGGCCCTCCGCTACATCCCCACACATCTCCTCTCCTATCTTTCCATCCACGTACTCTCACTCCTATTCCCCCACTACCTCCTCCTTCTTCTCCTCCCTCCTTTACATCCCCCACATCTCCTCCCCTCATTATCCTCCATCTACGTTCTCTCACTCCTTATCCTCCACCACCTTCTCCACTCTTCTACCTCCTTTCCCCTCCTCACTCCGCTCCTCCACTCTTTTTCAACCCTCTCCTAGTCTCTCCTCTACCTCCATCCCTTCTCCTTCTCTATTACCCCCCCCCCTCTCTTCGCCTTTTCTACCACATTCTCACCCTACTCATCCCATCCTTCATCCACTACCTCCTCCCTCTTCTTCTACCCTAGCTCCCTCCTCACACTTAATATTGGCAGTCCTTGACTTCGTAATCGTAACAATGTTTAGATGGCTCAAAATATGTGTGGCAAAAACAGCATTCAATATCCTTACTCTCGCTCTGCAGATTCTGGTGTCCACGACATATGTATTTCGTTTATCTGGAGAAAAATTTCACAAACTTTCCAATCGTAAAACGGCCGTTGATTCGGTTTTGTTTCCGGTCCGTTCGGCGTTTAAGACGCCGCGATTCGTCGAGCGCAGCCAAATTAGTCAAAACACGATTTAAGCTTTTGTGAAGGCAAGGGGCACACACAACTATGGCTCCAACTGAACGCCTCACATTACTTCCCCACACCCTAACTCGTTTATTTTCTATGCTAATTATTCTTGCAAACTTTAGCTTTGTGCTACGTCGTATAATTTGATTCATGAATAGGCTATTTAGTCTGTCTCCGCGATTTTGGCGGACGCATTTTTTATACAAGTCGCATAAACAACATCGAAGTGTCGACGCGTCCTATGTTACTGTTTCCCCAATGACCTCGGACCTCCGTAACAGAAAAACGCCACACATTGGTTAGAGACATCGGGTTTAGAGGCACCTTATACTATCAGGAATTTCTCAATGAAACCACTGGCATAAATTCCTGATAGTATACGCCACGCACTGCCGTCGTACCCAAAACAAGAACGCGGCAGCATAAAACACCGTAGCAACAGGTGCTTCGAAATCTCTCCCACCAATCCACATATAATGACGTTTCGTACCCATCAACTAGCTGAGCCACGCTAGCACGCGGGGTGGGTTGGGGGTGGGGGTCGTAGTTTCTTACTACCAGGCGAACAAATCGTGTCTTGTGTCATTGAGTTTCTCGCGCGACGGCGGCTGGTGACGACAGCCAACAGGTCACAACTATGGAAGGCCAGTTACCGCAAAACTCACCTATTTTAATTGGCGCTTAAAATGTGTACTTTTAACGCGCGATTGAATTCGCAGCCAATCAGAACAGTTGTTTTTAATTCGCCATTAAAATAGATTTAATCGCGATTAAAAATAGGTAGGTTTTTGTGGTCCGTGTGTGTTGGTGTGTGTTGTGTTGTGTGTGTGTGTGTGTGTGTGTGTGTGATGTGTGTAGCGTGCGTGCGTGCCCGTGTGTGTGTAGTGCGTGTGTGTGTTGTCCGTGTCTATGTGTGTGTCTATGTGTGTGTGTGTGTGTGTTGTGTGTGCTGTGTTGTGTGTGTGTGTGGTGCGCGTGTGTGTGCTGTGCAGTCCGTGTGTGTGTGTGTGTGTGTTGTCGTGTGTGTGTGTGTGTGTGGTGTGTGTGGTTGTAGTATATGTGTAATGTGTGTGGTGGGAGAGTTTCGGGGGTGTGTAGAACGCATCGTTTGTTTGTGTGTCAGGTTTGTTCATGAAGCGCAGTCCTGGAACGGTTTGATGATCGTCACCATACGATCTGTGTACCAGTACACCATACACACATATATGTGCTGATTAATCGTCTAATATACTAGGCCTGACGTCGGTGCTTTATCCACGGGGCAAGTATATACGTATAGCATATTAAGCATATTATGTAAAGTTAGTCACAGCACTGACCAGTGATAAACAGTATTGGCTTATAATCCTGCTGATTATAATATTAGCAATAAAACAATAGCTCATAACGTCTATATAGAACTACACTACGCACACGCAATAATAATAATAAATAATATAATAAATAATAATTTGATTTATACTGTGCACATTGCCTATATAAAATGTTACATAGCACTCTTTGATTTGAATTTGATAAGTTGACTCATGAATTTATCACGCTTAGACGTTGGCAAACCCGATCTATGTACATGGAATGAATAATGCGCCTATAGATAAGTAACGCAAATAACCACACACACAACACACCACACACCA